GTGGTGATTCTTAATGATGCTGATGAGCAGCAATGTATTGCAATGTTTCATAATACTTTGAAGACAGGACAAGTTAAAACATCCTTTGAGCTTGTTAAGTTTTTTTTGTGTGATGAAGAAAGTTGATAAGAGTAGGTGACTTTATACTATATTACACGTTGTTACAGTCTTTTAATGAAAATACATTGTGTGCTACCTAAAACATTAGATAAGTGTCCAGAAAAGAGAAGCCATCAATTTTTAAATATGCATTTAGAAACATGGAGGAAATAAAACATAAAGCAAAAAAGGAACCAAAGTCTTGTTACAATGAACTGAACTGTAATGACATTTTTCCTCTTATTTGATGAAAAGATTAACAGTCTGTCTAGCAATTAATTCTAGTATTTCCTTAATCTTCCTATTTTAGTGTTTGCTCTCCAAGATACTAACTTACTGTAAACAGACTCTGCATAGCAAAATTTCGTATTAAACTGCACTCCCTAACAATCCTGACTTACTTCAAATAGGTCAAATATTTTTGAGCACAGCTTTCAGAATTCTACTAACCACTACACAGATAAATGATTGAAAGTATTACTCCAAAGGGCAACATATATTTCAACAATGCCAGTCTCTTAGTAACAAGGAATGATAAGTGTGAATGCCTTTGTTAATATTAATGAACTTCTCGGTGCAATGTAAGTTTTTCAAAGAGCTAAAAAGGAATAAATACTTAAACAATGCCTTAAAATACAAAGGCATCAATGCACTAATCAGCAGAAATACAAAAATAACATGGTATTTCTAACAACGCTAAGGGCATTCCAACTTAGACAACAAATCTAGAAAACTGCTTAGAGTGACAGAAATTACTGTGTATTTTCCTCCTTCCTGTGTTATTCTTTAATCATTACAGTGCTAACAAAGTTTTCCTTCTACATGCCTCCCAACACCAGTGAGTCTTCCAAATTCCTTGTATGCGTGATTCCATAGTACTGGTGAATATCTCTCAGTGTAAAAAGCTGGAAAGCATGGAAAGGGTTGGAAATGGGTCATATATACATAAGTAACAATCATCCGCTCTTACTGTTGGTTTAAAAAACAAAAACTCTCATCTGACTAGAGAAATGTCAAAACTATTTGTTAGTTTAAATGAAGAGCAAAGCACTGGCCATCTCATCAAAGCACTTTAAAAAAACTAAAAATATCAGCATTTTAATAAATTCTGAATATGCTCTCACAGAAGCAAGTACACAGGTAACAAACATGAATGCAACCGCAAGGACTCCATCATTAACTTACTTTCATAAATCACAGCTTAAAAGAAACTAGTCTAGGACTAATTTTTCTTAAAAAAAAAAAAAAAAAAAAGGAAATTTTCAAAAGGGATTGATAAAACTGCACTCTACTGGGAGAGCTGATACATAACTTAGGCATAAACACTGTAAATGATTAATTTTCAGGAGTAAGAATGCAAGGAACATGCACAGAGCACTGACCTACTAAGCCGTATTTTAAAAGGTATCAATCACATGGTAACTCTCAGTAAGGCTTGCTTTAATATAAGAACTACTAGGTGCTCAATGTGGTTTTAAATGAAGTTATTTAGGTGCTCGAATAGAATGGTTTTGTTTAATCTCTAATATCCAAAAATCAATGCACTGAAATTGTTTTCCTTTCAATGTTTTTTCTACTAAGTCTGTTCCTTACAAATAAACATTTGAAATTGTTGTACTTTCCACAAACTGTAAATCATCACTTTGTTTTCACATATCCATTACAATTTTGCTATCATCACTTAGCATTCAGAATCCTTAAAATCTCCAGAAGTCAATACATACCTACATGCCTCAGATAAAAATTTTCACAAAAACAAGGACTATAAAAAACATTTATCACAAAGGAAATTTGTTTATACAATTTTATGTTTTAGGTACTAAATCTCACCTTTCTCAACATTTATTTCAGGAGCCACAACGTCATTTTAATACTTACACTGAGAAACAAACAAACAAACAAACAAGCTGGCATTTAAAAAAAATATTTGTTACTATAAATCTGAAAATCAAGTGGAATACTACAGACTTTACCAATGAAAACAATCCTGTGTCTTTGTGCATTTATGTCCACAATTTCAAAATTCTTCTGGGTCTCACTTAAGGAGAAATAGTGGATTCCAAAAAGACTGAAGATTTTTGCTTTGATAGAAGCAGCTTCTGGTTTGGAAAGAAGATTTTTTTTTTTTTAAAAAAAATTATCATTTGATAAAAAATTGATTAATTTACTTTTTTTGAAAATTAAAAATAAAGAACCCTTCAGGTCTAATCATATCAAAACAATAAGACTTGATTGTTCAGCTTTGAACACTTTCACATGCTAGTATTATTGCCCCTCATAAAGATAAAACACTGAATTATGGTATCATTTACTCATGTAAGAAAAGGCTGTTGATTTATACTCTTCCAAAGTTGCTAACATTCTCATGAGGATGAATTTATATCTCTTTCCAGAGACAATTTTCTTTTCCAATGCACCTTCTTATTTTCAGCAGTGGATGAATAAGAAGAAAGGAAGTAAAGTATCTGTTTACTTGATTGGAATGCTTCAATTATTCAGGAAGTAGTGCTGTATTAACTAATTAAACTAACAGCATGTGATAAATTCCGTAATAGTTTCACACAGGTCTTTTGTCTATTTGGGAATATGCCAAAATAATTTATTTGTAGTGTACTCTCCCTGGCAAAGCATAAAGACTCCCAGTCCCAACTCACCATGCATTGTGGTGACCTGACAGGGTATGCAATCAAGTTTATTGTGGAGACTACTTAATACACTATTGATTGCTGCAAAGAAAATAAATAGATGAATTGGAATAAAAAGAACAAAAGAACTTCTCTGATCCAATGCATAGCTTAAGATGCCTTTACCTTCTCTTAGTAAGAATAATTGTTCGTTCTTAAACAATTATTCCATTAGATGCCAGAGAAATGTATTTTTAAATGTGAAGATAATTTAATTACCAGATTGAGACTGAGAGACATCTTTGTTTTGGTTTGGTTTTGTTGTGTGGTTTTTTTTTTAAAGTTTCACAGAAGTGAGTAACATCTCAGTTTAGGAACAGCCCAGGATACTAGTCTATCTTGACTATAGAATATCTTGCAAATTCAAGAAAGTTTTGACTCAATTAAATTGCTGTTCCAGCCACAAGACATTCATCGGAAAACAGTTTTTGGCTGCTTGACAGCATAAACACATCTGTGAAGTTTCTCTAGGACAGCCGTATACCTTTTCAGAGTGGATGCAACAGTAACCATAGTGTACTGTGTCAGGCAGAGAAATGGATATACTCATAAATAAAACTGATGGGACAGTACTGATAGTAAACTACATTCCAGCTTGTTTTTAGGAATACAAAGTGTCCTCAAGAAAATATGTATGTTCTTAAAGATCAGATGCAGCAAGGCAAAAGGATCTGACCATGAAAAAAACTAAAAGGAAGCAACTCGTGAATACTGGGAATTACTATCAATCTTTGATAGCTAGTAGCTATCAGACAGAAATGAAACAACTTTTTTTTTTAACAAAAGCTGAGAATAAAATTTTTAAAACTACTTAAGAAAAGGACTACCTAGATTTTCCAATGAAGAAACAAACTGACAATTTAGAATCTTTATTACATTAATCATCTGCTTTAGTCTTACTGTATTTTGGTAGACCAAGTATATATCCTATATACACACATAAAATGTTACAGGAGACAAAAAAATTACATGTTGTAATATCTACAAAGCAAAGGCAGCAAGGATAGGTAAATGAGTCTCATAAATCCTCAGTTTGGGACCATACTTTTATAGATATACGTAAATGAACTCCTACTACATTCTGGGAACCATCACAGAGAACAATTTCAAATGGCTTGGGCTAATGAACATCGACACAAAAGTCTTTTGGAGTTGAATCTGTAGTGGGGTACTGAAAAATAAAACATTGTTATTTGTTCTAGATCAGTTTTAGTTAAGAACTTTTCTGGTCGATTTTAGATTAATTAAAATAAATAGTTGAGACATAATTCTAGGTATGCAGACATTCTGGTTTCTATTTTTCTTCCCAAGGAAGCTGCAAATGAACAAATGCAGGCCGTAGCAGGGCACTCAAAATCTGCTGGTTCTATAGGATCAGGGTAGAAGAGTTTTCCAATTTGCAGAATACACGCTTGCTCACTCTACTGCAAGAGCCAAGTTTGTTCTGGAAGTAGTGGATTACCATGAATTTAAGCTGAAAAACTTCCTATTTACTGTATTATACCTTATAAGAATCAGTAGTAGTCAGGCTAACAAAAAGAATGTATACGATCTGCTCTCCAAAGTGAAGGAAGAAACAGCAATGAAGAGTTATTTACCATTTCTTGTTCTGTTGATGACATATGCATCATTCAGTTGAAATATGAGTTTCATTCACAAAATCGAGATTCTTGCATGGAGAAATCTTCCATATGTTTCTGATTCAAGCCAAGATGTTTCACTCTAGTCAAGACTATCTAAAACTATGACATTTTGAAATTCACCTTTTCAATCTCAAGCTTTATTAGAAGAAAATATTCCTCCAGATATAAAAATGCAGTAGAGGTTGGGTTTGAACACTCAGAACATGATGTGTATTCAAGAAGTTGATTATTAGATCTTAACCTGAAAGTGACACAAAGCTTGCTAGATCAATCCTTAATCTGATTCTCGCTTTCAAGGCAGCTTTGCAAACTGAAAATTTCTCTCACATTTGAAATAGGCGATTTTAAATTAGTTTCATCACTTCAACAAAATGGTACTATGTAAAATGTATTCACATCCTATGAACGTTGCTTAGCAAAAAAAAAAAACACAAACACAACACCAACACACAAAACCACAAACGTTTTTCTTTGTCACATCTGTGCAACCTTATTATATTTGACTTGTAACAGTAATTCCAAGTGTTGACAAGCACTAAAATCACATTGTAATATATAATTGAGTCATTTTTACCGCATGTGTTGATTGTGGAACTCAGTGACGCAGCTCCAGTGGAAAGGCCACCTTTCGATACTGCTGAAGCTACAGACGGTGTAGAAGACACTGGAGTTGAAGCAGCTGCAGCAGAGGAGACTGATGATGACGTTAACCGCTCTCCAGACTCCATATCTGTAAGAGAAGACAAACGTCTGTCTTCTATGGCAAGAAATGAAATCACAAGGGGACCACAGGAGCGTCTGTGCTGATCATGTCTCAGGATCCACACTCAATTCTTGAGTATTTCCTATGAGACCTTAACATGAGAGGTACCATCACATGAAGAGCACTCAGTCATATCAGGGGAATCCAGCACATCTGCAGCAGTAAGGAAATGAGGTAGTGCTGTTGAGACCTACATCACGTTTCAACTTGAATGCCAACAGCCTCACCGGGGACCCCCATCCACACCCTCTGCTCAGGAGTTCCATTTTGGCTCAGGCTGGCACCTTCAGCCCTTACCTAAGTCAAGCCATAGCTCTGCAGCCTGGTCCATGCCTACGCCTCCTGGCTAGATCCCATATCTCATGTTGTATCTTCCCTCCAAGCTTGCATCACCTCCCATCTTCTGCTACTCCTGATCAGACTACCAGATGGACCCTGGGCCCGACAGATTCCTTTATTTTGTCTAGACCCTGCGATCAGCACAGTGTTCAGATCCTGTGGGACTGTGTCAGGGTCAGGAAAAGCACCACCTGTGCCATCCTTGACTGCCAGCTTGTCCCTCATTGCAGAGAAGCCCTGAGGGATCTGAGATTTGAAGAATGTGTAATGCATGCCGAAAAGTCCACATCTAGTCTCTCAGTTGACTCAGCAATTATAGTGAGATAGTATAAACTGAAGAATGACTCTAAGTTACCAGCCTTATTCCACTGAACAAGAACGTGTATTTTAAAGAAAAACGCACAGTAAAATTATTATTAACAATACTACTTGATGAGAAGTAGTTTCTCAAACACTTTAAAATTGCAGCCAAGCAAATGACATCCAAGCATAGCGGTAGCAAAGCCAAAAGACCATCTGACTCAATCTGCCAGAACTGCAGTTGACAATAAGTCAGGATCACAAGTAGAAAGAAGGCAGTGAAGAAATCTTTTCAGAGTCCCTCCATTATTACAAAAGCAAGGAGACTAAGCACAGGTAAGTCCTAACAGAGAAACTCTTGAGAAACCGGTTCCTGTCTTGGAGTCTCCTTCAGCTACAGAGGCAACAGCCCTTCTCAGAGCTATCACTGGAAAGGTGAGGAGGCCAAGTACTAAGCCTAAGTCAAACAACTGCTAGAAAAATCCCACTCCCGGTCTTTGCGAAACAGAACACCAAGTACATAAGACAGACGCTTTTCCAAATTCTATTTTAATTAATTTAGAAAACTGATGTGTTAAACAGCACTTTTATGTTAAAGTTATGTTAAACAGTGATTTCCCAAATACTCATTTGGAAAGCCACCAATACTTCTCCAGAAAGATGCGTTATCCTTTGTTCCTCTTCAGTCGGTAAAAGCACATCTTAAAAAGCCAAAGGAAGTACAAAGGCAAAAGTCATGGAGAAACACACAGAATATCTGGAAGATACACTGTGCCCTTTTAACTAAATCATTAATTCCTTATTGTTAGTAACTTTTATATGTGGCAATTTCTATGTATTGGATAAAAGTCTCTAGACTTTGATAGCTAGCAGAACAAGAGATACCACTTTCCCAAAGTGAAAATTCTCCTAACAAGCTAACTACAGCATATCACATAGAACTGCCTACCCTTTACACAAACTGCAAGCAACCACTTTGCAGAGAACAGCACTAAAAGACTTCATTGCTGTTATGCTTTACAGCCCAATTTATCACACAAAATTTTCAGGCATGCAGAAGAAAATCAATTTTTTTCTGCAAATACAGAAAAATCAACTACTTACACTGGTATGGTACAAACAGGTATCTACGACTATAGTGAGTATGAGGGCTATGAACTTTTCCTTCAGAACAACAGTAGAAATCACAAAAACTATTTCCATCAGAGAATTTATCAAGTCAAAATATTAATTTAAACATTTTAAATTTTTAGTTCAGGACTCCTAAATACATATTTTTCTCCAATTGAGTATTTTCTATCCACAGTTAAAAAATACCTCATTGATTTTTAGTAATCTCTGAATATAATTCAGCTAAACTGCTACTCAGTGGAAGCAGGCCACTGAAAAATACTGTATATACCGTAGACTTTAAATGTTATATTATGTCCATTAAATTTTATAATTATTCCTAAGGATAATACTTAATAGAAATCCCATTCATAAGCAATTATGATTTAAGTCTGTATCTACGGATTTAAATTTGTAGCATTTGCAAACACATGCACTATTTCAAGCCACAAAAAATTTACCATCTTTAGTATATAGAGACAGATCAATAAACAGACATAAATGAATACAACAAAGTACATTTTTTAGACACTATGAATGACTGAGCTTAGGTGAGGCCAATAGGCAGTCCTTGTATAAAAACCTATTAGTTTGTTGCATTTTGGTATTCATTGTTGTAAGCATGGCCACAGTGAATTTACTATACACACGGATGGCATAAGGGAAATTAGAAACACATCAAAATGGTATTATTACAGTACTCACTTGTAAAAAAGAAGGTATTTCTAAGCTTTAATGCACTGCATTCAAACTCAGGATTGAAACTTTGTATTTTACTTACTTTTCCTGACAAAAACATCCAGAACTCTCCAATTTCTAAAAAAAAAAATTTGCTGTTATGTTGCGTGTTATAATACAGCATTACAGTAAGTCTTTACCACCTAATGTATTAGATAAATAAGCACAGGTAAGAACCACCTATAGGCAATCCCCATTTGTGTCATAAATGGGAAGATACCCTTGGTAAATCAATACTTTTTTAATACAGAGATGTAAATCTAGCTATTCTTTTAACCAACATAAGCCATCTGTTTGAACTGGTACTACAGCATCAAATAAGAACCGGGCAAATAGTAACAAACTGCCCTTTTAAGGCTGTCGTCCTCCCTCCCTCCCTCCCTGCTCCTTATGTTTCAGTTTGCGGGGGAGTTGGGGGGTGTTTGGGGAGGGCTGCATTTTCAGCCTTTCATTCAGCTGCTTGTTTAAAGTCATTACTAGAAAACTGGAATACTGGTATTTCTGAATTATTTTGAACTGAAGAAATTATATTCTTCTCCTAGAGACGTACATACTTTTGCTTTCAAACTAAGTCAACCCTTAATTACGTTCAGTTAATTACTCTAACCACAGCAGATGGCTGACTCCAAAAGAGATAATCCCCGAAACAGTCATTAGTCAGGATCAGCAATAATTACACTGTAGACCTAATGTGTTCTGTGACTAAGAAAGTCCATACAGGAGATCCATATTCTTTTTAACCTCAAGTATAAATCAGACATTTGTTCCATTGTACTGTATTTTGCCAGTCAATACTTATGATGAACTTTCATGATTGCTTTGTAAACTCTCATATTTG